GGGAGCTCTGGATCTGTGAGTCTGGAGAACTAGTCTCTGTCTACTGTGGTTCCATAATGAGAGGCTTTTTACCTCTCTGATCCTCTCTGTAATGCAGTGGAAAATGGAACAAATCCTTCTCCTCCAACCTAAGGGGAACATGGTGAGGATATGAGGGGGAAGTCTACAGCCCTGTTGGGGTTTGGTAAATAATGGTGATTGCAAAATGATTCACAATGAAGGTATTGATCTGGAGCCTCTTTCTTGACCAATTTAGACAAATTAATTGGATCACAAATGTGCTCTTCTTCCAGTGATGCAAAGTGACTCTGGCCTCATTCTGATGTTTACCCAAGGGTACACTGCCTCAGGACAGTCACAAGCCCCAAGTCAAAGGAAAAAGAACTAGGAATGGGAAATAGTAAATCAAAAAGGCCAAAAAAAAAAATAGTTCAAAGAGTTCGATGAATCAGCTCTGATGTGCTATAGGAAAGTTGCCAGCTTCATGATTTCATTTCACCAACAGCCAGCAAGAGCACAAGTTGTATTTCCTCTTGCATTGGCTCAGCCAAAGGTGGATTGTGGCTTCCCATTAGATCCTTAGCATGCCCAGTTCCCATAAATTCTAAGCATGGAGAGCCACCAGGGGTCAAGATGGTGCTAGAGGAGCAATGGCACGTGCTTCTGGGATCACAATCACTGGCCCCCTTCAACTAAGATTGATGGAGACTTCATCATCATCAGAGAGACAGTTCCTGAGGCCTAGCTAGAGGCTGCAGCCCAGAGCTGGAGAGAAAGACTTTATTCCTGGGAACCCAGAGAATCAGGTTGTATAGGAAAGAAACAAAGACTCACAGTCTTTGTTTCTTTGGGTCTACAATCACTCAGGTAACCCCACTGGAAAACTTCAAGGAGAAACAGGAGAAAACAAAGCCCGACAGACACCCCCCACCCACGGAGGCTGAACAGCAGCCCTGCCCTGCTGGTGATGCTGTTATCCCCATTTCACACATGGCGGTGCTGAAGTTCAGAAAGTTCAGGTCAAGTTCAAGGCTATGAAGCTAGCAGGCAGAACTCCATGTCCTAACTTACTAGATGGACTCCTAAGGCATCTTCTTTTCTGTTTCACCCAGCAGAGAGTTGGGAGGAAGGTCATAATCCCAAGCCCACTCCTTCCTTAAAGGAAGGCAACCCCAAGAATTTTGTTCTGTGCCTGGACAGATGAGGATGTGCCAGGAAATGGGCTAGGAGGTCAGGGTGTCCTGGGCTTAAAATCCAATTCTGCTATTTATATTCTTCATTTCTTTCTATCCTGGGTCTACCAAAATGTCAGGTGTTTCACATTTGTCTCACCATCTTTATTTCACCCATGACCACCACCCTTCAATTTAACTGTGCCAAAAAGCCCCTGGCCCTCCTCTTCCAAAATTCTTTGCCATGAGCAAGATTCCACCCCTCACCGCCATTTCTGGATACATCCACATCTCTGCTTCTCTCTTCTTCTCCCCTTTTCTCTTGTTTCTTCCCGATCCCCCTTCTGCCTACATTCTCCCTTAATTACTTTCTTTATCCTGTTCTCCTTCATCTCTATCATCTCCTCCCACAGTTTCCCCTGATTCCTTCTCTCTTTTTTCCCATGCTCTTCTCCTACTTCCTCTCCTTATTCCCCTTCGGTGGTTCACCCATAAATAGACCAAGAGTTATGATGAGTGGCACCACCCGCAGTGTCTCAGACGACCTGAAGAGCTTCATCCTTGCACATAAGCCCTGGGCCTCAGCCTGGACACGGTGCCTTGCAGCTGCCTGATTAAAGCACTGAGGGAGGGTTTGTCTGGAGATGGTTTTATAGTGTTTGCTGAAGGGGGTAGTTGCCTTTTTGTCTCCATGCCAAGATGAAGCAAAGCTTTTTGGAAGGGGAAGTAGAAAATAAAAAACCCAGCCAATCCCCCTCTGTATTGTTCTTTGTGCCAGCAACTTGATGCTTTTTCAATGTGGGAGGAGAGTAACTGCAAACGCCACCCTCCACTCTGGCCCAGGCTTCCTCCTGGCCAGCGCAGCCCTCAAGCATGGTAAAGACTGCTTTGCACAGGAGACAGCAAAACAATGGGGAAACTGGGCTTGGAGCCTTCGACCCAAACGCAGACACTAAAAATGACTTCTCCCCACATGGGTAATGTTATTTAGCATAAAGGAAACAAGAGGGAGCCGAAGGCTTTGTAAAGATAGCTCAGGAAAGGGGAAGGAGTGAGCCAGAGGAAATTTTTATCTATTTCTGCAGCCCACCGCCTTAGGAACCACCCAGGCAAAGGAGAGAGACTGTAAGACAGAGAGAAAGAGTGAGAAAGAGAGAGAGAGAAATGCTATCAGCATTTGCAATTCTATTTTAAAAGATAGGAATAAATTCAGGTCTGGGAAATGCTAAGATTATCTGGTCTCACCCCTTCTTTTTTCAGACAAGGTGACTAAGGTCTAGCAATTTCAGGTTCATTACCCAGATTGACCCTACTGAAACAAGACAAGAGCAGCCCACTTCAGATCTTCCGATGGCTTTCCACCACCACTCACATCTGCTTTGCAAACAGATGAGTAGCACTGCCTGATCCCTGGAATTTTATCAAAGGGGTCTTAAAACTCAGTCCCACAGAACTTGGGTGCCTTGGGGGCAGGGGGCAGCAGCAGCCCATACTCCCAAGGGTAAAATGCCTATCTGTGCCTTGAAGAACACTGGTTCTCCTTAATAAGCTTGGCAAAAGGATGATGGTATCTCTCCCTCAGTTTCATTGCCTTATTTATCTTCCAACATACTCCCACATTATGCTTTTGAATTCTCATTCCTCATATGGCTAGTTGTTTGTGGTCCCACCTCCACAATCTTATCAGCATCCATCTCCTCCATTTCCTGCTATCTCAGATTCTGAAACAAGGATTTGGGTGCATGTGATTGATTATAAGACATAAAGAGAAAAAGGAAAACAGGATAGGGAAGAGCAAGGAGATAGGCAAGGATTTGAACTTAGATAAAGTCTACCCTTGACTTGATTGACACGGTGATCTGGAGACAAATTATAGTGTAAGGGTCCCGTGAAAAGTCGGAGGAAGAGACCACCAAGAGACTGACTCATGCAATTGCAGAAGGGGATTTAGAGGATCCAATTCAGCGCGCTGAGGCTCCAGGCTCACTCAAGAAGGGAGAGCAGCCCAGAGCCCAGAGCAGAGGTTAAGCAGTGCTTAAGTACACTTTTTGGGGAGGGTGGGGGCTTTGCATACATCAGAACAAATCAGCATGAGGCCCGGGAAAATCAAACAACAATTCTTAAACTTGATTAGTACATTCATTGGCGGGAACAGGTCGGGCAGGGGTGAGTGGTCACTCCTAAGCGGGGTACATATTCAGGGCCCTGTATGCCTACGTGACAAGCTGCACAGGGCCCTAGGCTAAATGGCCAGTAGGGCGTTGTCTTAACTGCCTCAGGAATTTCAGGTTCTGGGTGTAGCAAAGGAACTTAACAATACCTGGTCCTTTACATTTTAACTCAGGCTTTGCAGCTTAGAAACTTTACCCTTTCAATAATGCAGAGTTGTCCCCTCCTTTAGATCCAACATTTTGTGCCAGGGCACAAGGCCATCACGGATCCTGAGTTTCCTCAAGATGGAACATGTGTAAATTCCAGGGTCAGATAAATGAAGACCATTCTATGGACAAGGAGGCTATCCATGAGACTTACTTCATCTGCTCACACTCCCAGAAGCTGGTGAATGGGTACCTGGGCCTGATGAATTGGCTCTTGACAATATCCACTACATTTGGCAAGCCTGAAGTTAAATGAATCCTACCCTTGCAATGCCCTCCTGTATCCTTAAGCCAAGCAGAATCAGAAGTGAAAGGTACCACTGCTGCTTTCTCTCTGATGTCACAACAGGACTGGTCTTCATCTCCAGGGGCCATTCACTGCCCTAGTGCTGGACCAACAATTCAGTCTCCCCACCAGTCTCTCTGTCTTCAGTCTCAACATCTTTAAAACATCCTCCTATCAACTACCAGAGGCAATTAAGTGGTTGATGCCTATCATTCCCTGTTTGCATCCTTCAAAGGCATCCCATGGTCCTCAGGATAAAGACCAAACTCCTTAACCAGGCAGACCAGGTTCTTAGTGGCTTGACCCTCACTTATCACTCTAACCAGATTACATTCTCTGTCTTCCTTTTCTAATGCAAATGTGTTTTTGTTTTTGTTGTTTGTTTGTTACTTTGGCCTTTATATAATGTTTTCTCTATCTAGAGTGTTCTTATCCCCTATCTACTGGGTCATCGGTTGTATATTCTTCTACATTTGAGTTTCAATGTTTAAATATTCTTACCACCAAAAAATGATACGTATGTGATATGTTAATTAGTTTGATTTAGCCATTCTGCAGTGTATACAAACTTCAAAACATAATGCTATACATGATAAATGTATACAATTTTTGTTTTACTAATACTTAAATAAATCAATGCTTCCTTTTGCCTAAAGACTTTCCTGGCCTTTCAAGCTGTCAGTTCACCTTGAATAAGCTTCTTCATGTCAGGTAGAAGTTATTATTTTATTATTCAGTACCTTCCACTAAATCATGAGATCTTTGAGAGTGTGGACCATGTCTTACCAATATTTTTGTGCTCTTCTACTTAAATGTGTAATATATGGTAGGCATCCACAGGTCTTGAAAAAAAATTAGCAACTCTACCCAAGAAACTGAGTATTTCATCTCTATATATTTCATTTGTGATCCTGAGAAGTCAGGAAATATGTTTTCTAGATTGTTAGCATCCCTTTCAAAGACTCTCTTGACTGAGTGGCTTTCTAATGTCATGCTAATGGTACTATTCATAATCATTCCTGTCTCTAAATTGTTGCTTACAGTCCCAAGGCCTTGAAATATTACATTCTCCCCACATCCAAATCCTATGCATTATTGGGTCATAGTCTAGCAATTGTCCCATTAAATATTAAATATGGCATTTGTTTTTCCTCATTAGAGAAAATTTAAGCTGCACCACAATCTTGGTACAGAAAGCAAAATCACTGGAGTAACATCCATTTGAAGAGTCGGTGCCAAGTGAGTTGTCCCAGTTTTTCTTGAGAAGCACAATAGCAACCATTTTACTTTGGAAGTGGTAGGAATCATTATCAGTGTACACTAATATCCACTTATTTTCCCCTTCCTGAGTAATTTGGCAGATCATGCTTCTAAGACCCCTGGTAGACAATTTATTTACCATGTGACCAGATATGGCCAATGAAAGCAGAGATTAAGTGCATCCTCTGATAGCTGCTTGATTTGCTGAGTCACTCCTTGGGGGAAAGGTTGCCTGACCAATCACCTGAATCCACCACAGACCTTGCAATTCACCTTCTCTTGCATTGAAACTTTAAGATTTGTTATTCCTATAGCATATCTCATCCTGATTAAGAGGAAGATTGAAAAAGAAACTACTTCACTATCTGGATGAGGGTAACTTTGAGATATAAAGTGGTTGTTCTAATGCTCACAGATTGTCTGAGCCCTAATGTATGAAATAGAGAAGCTCACATCAGTAATACTCATTTTGAACACCAAATGTTTGGCCAGAGGGATCCTTTTCTAAAGATCTTACTAGGCTTAATAACGCATACAATTAATAATTTAAGGCAGCCTTATATATATGCCTTGAGTTAAAATGAAAATTAACTTAATAGATAATATACCTGCTATCCCAAGAAATAACCTTACCAGTTTAGACTATCCATTTCAGGGAAGGTCAATTAGATGTCTTTTAAAAATAGTATAAAAAATAACTGGTTTGCTATTTCAAATGAAATGATTTCTTCTCCTTGGCAAAAATAGATGAAAATTTCTCTCCAAAACAAGATGAAGTAATTGAATCTGCCTCAATTAATCTTATCAAACAATGGAACAGATTCACCATGATTATTTTTCTAGACTGTATTTCTTTTTCTTATTAGACTTTTCAATTGTTTCTAAGGATGGAGAAGAGTTTGATTCAGTGCAGTTACTAATGTATGTAATTAAAGGTATCTGTAGTCTTTCTGTTGTTTGTGCTAAAATTGGAGTGCTTAAAATTTGTAAAGATGACTTAAATTTTAAAATTAAGCATCATTCATAGAAATGGTTAGAGATCCAGGCAGAAATCCAGTTTGTTTTTGTTTTTGTTGTTGTTGGCAGTTTTCTTTTTTCCATTAACATTCTTGAATGAGTCAATTTCCCGGATGTTGTCTTAATGATGTGCTTGTGGGAAGAGTGGCACTCCTAGAATCTCAACCTCACAGTACAGCTGGTATTGATGGAGAGTTGCACAGAAGAAACTATCCTGTTTGATATGACCAAGCACTGGTTGGACAAACATTTTGTTGAGTTTCAAGGAATATCAGTAATTAGTCTTTACTATTACAGGTATAGGATACAGATGTGTATAGCTATATATAACTTATGATTTTTGTCAGATCATATTAAAAAATAAACATTGAGAGTGTTTAAAAAAATATAGAAGCTCAACCCTGGGAGTCATCCATTGGAAAATCCAAATGTAATTATGCACCCTTGGCCAAGCTTGGCATAAAAGAAATGGGATTTTTCTCACATAAAATGTCATTGTTATGTGTGCTTGGATCGTTAAGAGCAGAAACTCACAGCAGGAGTGACTGGTCATCTATTGGAGGAAACAGGATAAGTAGTGTGGCCAACTCGCATCATTCTCCTTGAGTTTACATAAATACAGCCGAGTCTCCCCAATTTATAGATCGACTCCTTATTTTACTTCCAATTCTTAAAGAACTTGAAAGACCAAATCAGTTCATCCTCAGAGGACTAGAACTATCCCTCTTCACCATGCTTCTGTTTTGCTCTCAGAAGGCTGTAGAATGAACCATGCTACAAAGTCTAGCAAAGAGAATTCCAAGTTCTCAAGACTTGCAAAAGAAAAGCTTGTCTCCAAGGGATCTGGGAGCCCCACATCATACCCTGTCCCTACACAAAGTAAATTAAAAAAAAATAGTTCTAAGTTTAGCCAGAAGTGAACTAATTCTAGAACCTGTAATTCATTCCACAAATTTTTAATGAATGCCTATTATGATGTATGCAGTATTCCAGGTATGGCAAATTCAGCAGCAATGACCAAAGACACCATCTTTGGTATCATGAAGCTAATGTTCTGGGGCTGGAGAAAACCATACACAGATGAACAAATTGTTCACATTAGCTTGTCACATTGTGCTAAGTGAACACTGAACACTGTAAAGTGATGGTATCATGGAGACAAATTTGAGTTAGGGATGACTGCCTTGGATTGAGTAGTTAAGAAAGGCCTCTTAGAACAGGGAACCTTGGATCTGAACCTGATGTATAATAGTAATAGCTAACAATGATTGAGAATGTTCTTTGTAAGAAGAAATGTTCAGAGCATTTTACCTGTATGGAGTTATTTTAATTCTCTCGACAATTCCACAAAGTCATGGGTGTCACCTCCATTCTACTGGTGAAGAAACTGAAGCAGAGAAGTGCTTGGTTGCATGCCTGAGGTCACACAGCTATGGAAAGAGGAGGCAGGCTTCCAACTCCAGAAGTCAGGCTCCAGCATCTGCTTTTAACCATAATACTACACTTCCTCTTAACAACGAGTATAATGAAATATGTCTTGGGTAAATGTAAATGAGAGCTCCGGGGCAGAGGTTAGAGTAAGGACAGAGTTCCTAAGTTTGGAAAGTAAACTTGTGGTCCACAGCAATTTCTATTGGAGCTGACAAGTTATTTCCATTCCTGGCCAATCCCAAAACAACTGTTAAAATTGGGCTAATTTCCAAGGCCTCTCAGTATGTTGCATGATAACCTCCCAAAAATATGAAGAAGATGGTGCATATTTTACATGATCTTGATATCAAGCACAACATAATTGCTCTCTGAAATATTAAAAACCCTATTGTAGCTCCCCCAACTATCTAGGACCTTACGAAATCTAATTTCATCTTGGCAAAGCTTCCTGCAAGATAAACATAAGCCTACTCAAGGAAGTCTTAATTCAATAGCATTCAAAATATGCCGGCAACTGATCAAGACAGACCTGGGGGCCAGAGAGAGACCTGATATGCTTTGAGCATTCCCATGCAGAGATAATTATTGAGTAATCCTCAGCATACCAACACTGTGCTCGACACAGGGGCCAGAAAGAAATAAGGATATCAACAATAATATTTAGGAGCTCAACTTACATTTATAGTAATTTTGGGTGCCTACTTGACACGATGAAAAATTTCCCCAAATTACAAAAGAGAGAACGGAATTTCAGAGCTGAAAATGAAGGAATGCCTAGCATAATATCTGAACCCCTGATCAGGAAAACAGTCAAAACTATTAAAAAGTGTTTGGTAATATTTGGAAAAAAAAATTTTTTTTCTCTCCATTTTGGCAAAACACAACCATTTCCAGAATTGGCAGGATATAAAATACAGAGTAAAGGGAAAACTACAATAAAGTTTATGCCCCATAATCCAGATGCAGGTCGATAGGGGGGCTGAAAGCAAGGCTTTCTCCTCTGCAGGCTGAGACCCTGCCAAGTGCTGAGCACTGCAGGTTGCCTGCTCATGTACAGGTGAGAAGAATAAAACACTATCCCTGGGACAGGATAAAGATTCCACTCTACAGTGGGTATCTGTTGGAGACGTGGGCAGAGATTTTTGCTGATTTTTCAGTTTCAAGGTGGGTGGACCATGTCCAAGAAACAGACCAAATGTGAAAATAGGTAATTAATGAGAGTCTCCTGTCTTAAGATGAATAAGTCTCAAACTTTCATCTACCTCAGCATCATCTGGCAGGGGGGCTTGTTCAAACACAGATTATGGGAGCCCTGCCCCCAAGAATTTCTCAATCAATAGGTATGAGTGAGGCCTGAGAATTTGCATTTTTGATCTTCCAGGTGACAATAATGTTCCTGGTCTAGGGACCACACTTTGAGAACCACTGACATGGTCAGGGGGGTGGGTGTAGAGGAAAGAGGAGATTCCCAGGGGTACAGCAGCTATTGGATCAGATGGAAACCGGGGGAAGTAAAGCACCAGGAACTCTATCCTTGACAAGTTGTCCAAGATGGTCTCTGTCTGGGACCCTTCCACCAAAGGCTCGCCTCTCTTGAGGAAGGAAGGGAACTAGCACTCAGGGAATAAGCTATGTGCAGGCACTAATGCCGAGTGCCTCCACAAATGCCTTCTCTCACAACAATCCTAGGAGCTAAGTATCACGTTTCCATTTCAGATGTGGAAACCAAGGTCCTGACCGACAGATAAATCAGAATGCAAGTCTCTCAAACGCTAAAGGACAAGCTCTTTCCTGCGGCATGTTTACCTTTCAGGTGCTCTCTCTTCTGACATTTCACACAGATGCAACAATAAAATACCAAAGAAAATTACCAAGGCACTTGCAATTCTCAGTAAACAAGGTCCTGTTCAGTAGGTGGACTTGCTTCATTCAGTTGCTCCAAGCAGCTGAGGAGGCTGCTGGGGTCCTGAGGATTGTCAAAAGGTTGTATCACTCGGTCCCTGAGAGGTTGCTGTCAAACAGCCTAAGAGAAGGTGCCCAAAACCCTTCAGTTTACCCATGAGGACCCTGCTGTCACAACCATCACTACCTTGAGCACCTTCTGTGTCACCCCTACAACCACCAGAGTTTCTAGTCAACTAATAAGTACCAACCAGGAGCTATTATTTCTATAACATTAAGTACATACACACACACACACACACACACACACACACCTCACATAATAAAGCTGTAGCCTTGGCCACTTACTATGACACACAAAAGTGGGGGGACCCCAATCTTTATGACATGGACCCTCTTGTTTGTTTATGGACTCTGGAGTATTTCTACTCAAATGATTTATCTGTTCATTGCAGGATGATAAAGGATGGATCCTCATTTGATTACCTCTAACCCATTTTCTCCCCTTAAAGTTTGTACAAGCCTGTTTGCCTTCCTTTCTTGCTTAAAGAAATGAGTGACAGCAGACATGTTCTTCAGTAAAATGGCCTACACACATCATAAATGGTTCTTAATTCAAAAGGAGATGG